AGGTCTGTGGGAGCCAGAAATCTTGCTTGTTTGTAGGTGACCAAACACTTCTTTTCCACCATAATTTGCAAATAAATTCATAAAAAATCCTACAATGTGATTTTCTGGAAAAAAAAATCTCAATTTGTGTGTCATTGTTGACGTGTACCTATGATGAAAATTACAGGCCTCTCTCATCTTTTTAAGTGGGAGAACTTGCACAATTGGTGGCTGACTAAATACTGTATGTGTGGGGTACAGAGATAATGTAGTCATAAAAAAATCATGTTAAACACTATTATTGCACACAGAGTGAGTCCATCCAACTTATTATGTGACTTGTTAAGCACATTTTTACTCCTGAACTTATTTAGGCTTGCCATAACATTTCAGCTTTTCATTTTTTATTAATTTGTATTATGGGGTTATTGTGTGTAGGCCAGTGACCAAAAACCTAATTTTAATCAATTTTAAATTCAGGCTGTAACGCAACAAACTGTGGAAAAGGTCAGGGGGTGTGAATACTTTCTGAAGGCACTGTATTTGCTCTGAATTAAGATTAAATGATGCCTGCAGAAAGAATGGGGTGTCAGCTATGACATGACACATTGACTTTGAAAAAATATTTTTGGTTATTGAACTACAGTAAGTGAAGTGATTTACACCCGGTAACGGAATTGTGGTAACGGAATGTCATCATGGGTCTCTGATTTGTACTCACAAAAATGCATAATTATGGATATGAATGTCATTCTCTTTATCGTGACATATCCTAAATAGGTACACAAAAGGTATAAATATTAAATATCCTCCTTTGCATATTTGGGTATTATTCTATACACTGGCTATTATTTTTAATGACCTCTGCCCCCAAACAAGACCAAATTTGGACCAAATCTAAACCAGTCATAGATGTCTATGTTTCACAAGTTTGGATATCAGCACAGTAGAGCTCAGTAGAGTAGAGTACGGTACAGTACAGCATAGAACAGTAGAGTTCAGTACAGAACAGTAGAGTACAGTAAAGTAGAGTATAGTTCAGTAGAGTATAGTTCAGTTGAGTACAGTAAAGTACAGTAGAGTTCAGTACCGTACAGTACAATACAGTACATTATAGTGTACTCAACTCTAATGTGCTCTACTGTGTACTGAACTATACTCTACTTTTCTTTACTGTACTCTACTGTGCTGTACTGTACTGTCCTGTGCTGTCCAAACTTGTGAACCCAACTGTGGTTTGTGACTACTATGATTTCCCATTGTAGCCAACTCAATTGCAGAAATTCCTTACCAATTTTTCTGAATTTTCTGTTACCGATTTGGTAACGGAATTCCAAGTTTTAATCACTTAATAATTCATAAACAAAATTGATATCAGTAAAAACACTTTAACTAATTGATAGGTCTACCTTTACTTGTTACTTCTGTGAACTTTCATTGTCCTCCCTCATGTTGAGGGAGAGAAATTAGAAAATATCTTAAAGATATGTGGGTTTTTGGTAACGGAATGTTTCTTAAACTTACAGAATGCAGAACAATTTCTCCAAAACTAAATATGTGTTCATAATAGCTGGCAGGGCTCTTTACTGCAACATCATTGTGGTTTGATATATTTCTAATACCTTTCAAGACTTTTTCTGGTAGATGTTTTCTAAGACCCCTTTTCCACCTGTTTTACCAGAAATCAAAGCCTTTGCTTATTCCAAATTTTTAGGATGGAAAATGGTTGAAAAATGTATATGTTTTCATTTCTCAAAAATATAGACTCTTAGCTTTCACATGCTCCTATGAACTTCACATGTGGTCCTGTGTGGCTCAGTTGGTAGAGCATGGTGCTTGCAATGCCAAGGTTGTGAGTTCGATTACCACGGGAGACCAGTACGGTAAAAAAAAGTATGAAAAATGTATGCAATCACTACTGTAAGTCGCTCTGCATAAGAGCGTCTGATAAATGACTAAAATGTTATGTTGGTGCTCATGGTTCCTTTTACATAGAAATGACCGCATTCATCTTAAGATAGCCAGGTGAGACAACCACATATCACAGTCGTAGTAAGTAAATTTTTCCTCAATACAGAAATTATCAGCAAAGTCAGTGCTAGCTGGAAAAGACAAGTGCAATTTCTTTGTTTTTTGTATGGGGGGGAGGGGAATAAGACTGAGATACTCTTTGAAGAGGTAGGGTTTCAGTTGTTTTCAGGAAGATGGGCAGGGACTCTGCTGTCCTAGCTTCAGGGTGAAGCTCATTCCATCATTGAGATGCCAGGACAGAGAAGAGCTTTGACTGGGCTGAGTGGTAATGGCCAAGAGACCAGAGGTGGCAGAATGGTGTGCTCGGGTTGGGGTGTAGGGTTTTAGCATAGCCTGAAGGTAGGGAGGGGCAGTTCCCCTTGCTGTTCTGTAGGCAAGCACCGTGGTCTTGTAGTGGATGCGAGTGGTGTGTGCGGAGGAGTGGGTGACATGGCAGAACTTCGGAAGGTTGAACACACTTCTGGATAAGTTGCAGGGGTTTGATGACACAAGTGGGGAGCTCAGCCAACAACGAGTTGCAGTAGTCCAGACGTGAGGTGACAAGTGCCTGGATTAGGACATGCACCGCTTACTGTGTGAGGTAGGGTCTTACTCTATGGATGTTGTAGAGAAAGAACCTGCAGGAGCGAGTCACTGTAACGGTTGGGGTGAGGTGTGACCCAGGTGCGGTGCAGGATATACAGTAGGCAGTAGGCATAGATGGTGAAACAAGGATCTGTACTGGTTATATACAAAATAACGGACTTATCACGATAAAAGAAAGGTGGAGCAAATAAGTCTCCAAAAACCGGCTGACAACCAAAATGCGAAATACTACCTAAGACTGAAACAAATAACGAAACAGGGAGAACACTTCACAAGTACCTGTACATAGATCTCAGATCAGAGACTGAGTAGTACTGCTGGACATGGAGAAACTAGAAGAGAAAACTGAGCAAGGGAACACAGGGAAGTGAGGGCATAAATACACAGGTGAACCGATAGACACAGGTGACACCAATAGGATGATGATTGGTCCCGACTGTGAGTGAGGAGGTGCCTAAGGTTGTCGGAGGATGACACCTAGTGGGTTGCTCTGGAAATGCGACCCCCTCCTGTAACAAGTCACTGCTTTGATATTTGCAGAGAACGACAGGGTGTTGTCCAGGGTCACGGCAGGTTCTTTGCACTCTGGGAGCGGGACACTGTGGAGTTGTCAACTGTGACAGGGAGATCTTGGAGCGGGCAGGCCTTCCCCGGGAGGAAGAACAGTTCCATCTTATCGGGGTTGAGCTTGAGGTGGTGGGCCGATATACAAGCTGAGATATCTGCCAGGCACACAGAGATGCGTGTCGCCACCTGAATGTCAGAAGGGGGGAAGAAGAAAAGTACTTGAGTGTCATCCGCATAGCAATGATAGGAGAGACCATGTGAGGATATGACGGAGCTGAGTGACTTGGTATATAGAGAGAAGAGGAGAGGGCCTAGAACCGAGTTCTGGGGGACACCAGTAGTGAGAGCACGTGGTGCAGACACCGATCCTCTCCACATCACCTGGTAGGAGCGGCCAGCCAGGTAGGATGCAATCCAAGAGTGTGCAGAGCCTGAGCCCCTGCGCTGAGAGGGTGGTTCACTCTGTCCAAGGCAGCGGATAGATCTAGGAGGATGAGGCCAGAGGAGAGAGAGAGTCAGCTTTGGAAGTGCAGAGAGCCTCCGTGACAAAGAGGAGAGCGGTCTCGGTTGAGTAACCCGTCTTGAAGCCTGACTGGTTAAGGTCAAGAAGATCGTTCTGAGAGAGATAATGAAAGTATTTTGGAAAGAAAAGAAAGAAGGGATACCGGTCTGTCATTTTTGATGTCAGAGGGGTTGAGTGTTGGTTTCTTGAGGAGGGGAGCGACTCTGGCCATTTTTGAAGTCAGAGGGGATGAGTTGATGAGGGAAGTTAGGAATGAGATGGTCTGGAGAAGGGAGGAGGGGATGGGGTCGAGTGGGCAGGTTGTCAGGTGGCCAGACGTCACTAGGATTTAATCTGGAGAGAGAGGGGAGAAAGAGGTCAAGGTGTAGGGTAGTTCAGTATGAGTGGGACAAGTGGACTCAATAGGCTGAGTGAATGAGGAGCGGATATCGTCTACCTTCTTTTCATAGGGGTTGACAAAGTCTTCCGCACAGGGGTGGGGGGGGTTGGGGGTTTACGGAGGGAGGAGAAGGTGGCAAAGAGTTTCCTAGGGTTAGAGGCAGAAACTTGAAATCTGGAGTGATAGAAAGTGGCGTTAGCAGCGGCTATATAGGAAGAGAAGGTAGAGAGGAGGGAGTGAAAAGATGATAGGTCCTCTGCAAGTAAAATGTTCTCCATTGTTGATCACCTGAGTTTCTCAGCCAATGAGCAGAAGGATAGGGCCGAGCCGGCCGGGAGGAAAGGGGACAGTGAGAGTCATACGATGCAGAAAGGGAGGAGAGTACGTAAAGTAAATGGCCCTAGTAGCAAGAAACACATTAGAAAACAACAAATTAAGACAAAAATGATTCTTATCACTCTTGGAGAGAGTAGGAGTCCTCTAGCTATATATTGAAGCACACTGAACTGGAGCTTGAGAAGCTGGATATACTGTATACTCAGAGAAGAGATGGAACCACTCACCATCCAATACAGGCACTGATTACCAAAACAGCAACAATCACAAATTGCCCTGCGCTTTAATCCTAGTTGATGTGTCAACAATCAGCTGCAGGTTATGAGGTTATGTATTCTGCTCACAGTGGGGGAACCGGGGGAACCCCCCCCCCCCCCCCCCCATGTTTATGTAATTAATACTATTTAAGCTCACCACAACCCCCTGTTTCTTACCCCAACAATGCTAAATGTGCTTTGTTGATATGGTTTGTGTAAATATTAGACCTTGGAAGGCACATGCATGTACACACACACACACACGTACACGTACAACATACCTACCAACTACAATAGGAAGGACCTTCATGGCTTTGCGCTCCCTCCCACTCACTCTGCTACTCTTGCTGTTGCGGCGCCCCCTCTTGGTGGCCTTAGTGTGGGCCAGCCCATTCTCCTTCAGGCTCTTCCCCTGCCTAGGCGGCCTCTCCGTGGGGTCCGCGTCCGAAATGCTGTCCATCTGGGTAGTCATGGGGTCGCTCTCCGCCACACTCGCCCCCACACCATCCTGTTGCTTGTCCTCCACCCCCAGGGTCGCCGTGGGCGATGCCATCGATACAGCTGACGGTGACATCGGGCTGAGCCCTGTAGGCATGAGGTACACCACCTTCTCCTTGGCCCCCGCCCTGTCCCCTGCGTTCTCCCTCTGCAAGGCGGAGCTGAGGCGCAGGGACAGGCTCCGTTTTCCTCCCCTCGTCAGCTGGGAGCGGCTCCTGCCTGAGCTCCAGCGTCTCAACCCCCGGAACATCCAGTAGTACAGGAAGAGCATGACGGGGCAAGGCACAAAGAAGGAGCACACGGAGGAGTATACCACAAAGCTGTCGTTCTCCAGCTTGCACACGGTGGGGTCGCGGCCCGGCACCTGGTTGAGGCCGAAGATGACGGGACTGGCGACGCCCAGGGAGAGAACCCAGGTGGCCGTAATGAGGACCAGCTGCCGCAGGCTGAACTGGTTCCTGTTGTACTTCAGGGGCACCACCACCGCTATGTACCTGTAGGGACACACATGTCATAGGGGATAAAATACATTTGAAATACATGGAGCACACCTGTTGTACTTCAGGGGCACTACTGTCACCATGGCTATGTCCCTGCAGGGACACGGATCAAAGCGAATAACATAGTCTACATTTAAAATACATAAATACATCAATTTAACATGGAGGGACTTCAAACAGGCCAACACAGCAGGGAAGTACTCAGAGGACATAGTGGCTGTTTTGGAAACATTTGAAAAACCTCAAAGTTGTTCAAAGCTGTTCTGTGGTCCTACAGGTTCAAAGTAAACTTAGATGTGGAGGCACTGGAATGCCACAGATAAAGTTACAATAATATTCACCCCAGATAAAGTTACAATAATATTCACCTTAATTCGTAACTCCACTCTACTCCACCCCCCACAACCTGGCTCTACCCTGCTTCTCCAGTCTTATAAATCCAATTAATCTTAATCTATTGATTAGATACCATGTCGTGTTGTTACATTCTGAAATCTAATCACTCCACAATGCTATAGAACCTGTCAGTCTCACAAGCTGCAAAACACTAGGGATATAACATTTAACTAGCAGGAAGTGTGTGCTGTGTGGAACCTTTTTAATGCTTATCTTATATTTTACAGTCAACTTGTTTTTGCTTTGCCTTAGAAACTCTCGGTCACACTGAGCCCTTAGATGTTGTTTGGGATAGAGTCCCCTGGGTGGTTGGCGTGAGTTTGCTTCTCTCTGTGTTGAGTAATTAGTGGCCTTGATGATTGGGTCGATGAGGGGTTCCAGAGCTATGGTTCCATTAGCCTCCTATAGACCACAGCCATCAGTTACATTCACTGTGTGATGTCTGCTAATGGTCTCCCTACGCTCTTCTCACTGTCTTGCAGAATGATTTGGGGGATTACAGTGAGTGACAGGGCTCGCTACAGAGCTCGCTACAGATATTAGAAATTAATATTGAACTTGCAAGTTGAAGATATTGTTTTTGGTGTTTTTAATGGCTCTCTGTGTTGCTTTCATAAGTGGGAATAAAGAGTATACCCAGGGTATTTCTTGAAGAAAAGCTTTTCCTTGTTCAAACTAATAATTCAGAGATATTGTGGTACAGTGGGGGAAAAAAGTATTTAGTCAGCCACCAATTGTGCAAGTTCTCCCACTTAAAAAGATGAGAGAGGCCTGTAACGTCAACTATGACAGACAAAATGAGATTTTTTTTCTCCAGATAATCACATTGTATGATTTTTTATGAATTTATTTGCAAATTATGGTGGAAAATAAGTATTTGGTCACCTACAAACAAGCAAGATTTCTGGCTCTCACAGACCTGTAACTTCTTCTTTAAGAGGCTCCTCTGTCCTCCACTCGTTACCTGTATTAATGGCACCTGTTTGAACTTGTTATCAGTATAAAAGACACCTGTCCACAACTTCAAACAGTCACACTCCAAACTCCACTATGGCCAAGACCAAAGTGCTGTCAAAGGACACCAGAAACAAAATTGTAGACCTGCACCAGGCTGGGAAGACTGATCAGCAATAGGTAAGCAGCTTGGTTTGAAGAAATCAACTGTGGGAGCAATTCTTAGGAAATGGAAGACATACAAGACCACTGATAATCTCCCTCGATCTGGGGCTCCACGCAAGATCTCACCCCGTGGGGTCAAAATTATCACAAGAACGGTGAGCAAAAATCCCAGAACCACACGGGGGGACCTAGTGAATGACCTGCAGAGAGCTGGGACCAATGTAACAAAGCCTACCATCAGTAACACACTACGCCGCCAGGGACTCAAATCCTGCAGTGCCAGACGTGTCCCCCTGCTTAAGCCAGTACATGTCCAGGCCCGTCTGAAGTTTGCTAGAGTGCATTTGGATGATCCAGAAGAGGATTGGGAGAATGTCATATGGTCAGATGAAACCAAAATATAACTTCTTGGTAAAAACTCAACTCGTCGTGTTTGGAGGACAAAGAATGCTGAGTTGCATCTAAAGAACACCATACCTACTGTGAAGCATGGGGGTGGAAACATCATGCTTTGGGGCTGTTTTTCTGCAAAGGGACCAGGACGACTGATCCGTGTAAAGGAAAGAATGAATGGGGCCATGTATCGTGAGATTTTGAGTGAAAACCTCCTTCCATCAGCAAGGGCATTGAAGATGAAACTTGGCTGGGTCTTTCAGCATGACCATGATCCCAAACACACCACCCGGGCAACGAAGGAGTGGCTTCATAAGAAGCATTTCAAGGTCCTGGAGTAGCCTAGCCAGTCTCCAGATCTCAACCCCATAGAAAATCTTTGGAGGGAGTTGAAAGTCTGTGTTGCCCAGCGACAGCCCCAAAACATCACTGCTCTATAGGAGATCTGCATGGAGGAATGGGCCAAAATACCAGCAACAGTGTGTGAAAACCTTGTGAAGACTTACAGAAAACGTTTGACCTGTGTCATTGCCAACAAAGGGTATATAACAAAGTATTGAGAAACTTTTGTTATTGACCAAATACTTATTTTCCACCATAATTTGCAAATAAATTCATTAAAAATCCTACAATGTGATTTTCTGGATTTTTTTTCTTCTCATTTTGTCTGTCATAGTTGACGTGTACCTATGATGAAAATTACAGGCCTCTCTCATCTTTTTAAGTGGGAGAACTTGCACAATTGGTGGCTGACTAAATACTTTTTTCCCCCACTGTAGTTCTTTGTAATTCTTTGTTAACTGAAATCATACTGGAGACTGCCCAATGGGCACAGCACATCATTTCAACGTGGATAATTGGGTAATATTTGGTTGACACATTGATCAAAGGTATTACAACCTATATTCACCCACTCAAAAAGACAGACAAAAGTTAGTTGAATATCCATTCTATTTTCACTATGCTTTCAACCATCTAAAGGCACAAACAAATTCCTATGCAAAACAACGTCTGATTTGTGGTTTATTACTGTGCTTCATCTAATAGCATAACCAAATGACCTGGATTGCAGTTGAGATTGCATTAAAAGTACATGGTGCAAGTGATCAATGCTGTTCGAGATTCTGCAAAGATTATTACAGATGTATTTTCCACATATATTCCACGTCACAATATGTTGACAAATTACATTCAAACAACGTTGATTCAACCAGTTTGTGCCCTGTGGGTGGACATGTGGTGTTACCAGGTTTCAGAGTCCAGTGTACCGTAACTAGACAGGTCAGAGAGGGACAGGTGTGGTATTGAAAACTAGTGTGAACTGACAGCCATGTGTTACCATAGTGTCCAGGTGAAGTTGAGACAGAAGGACTCACCTGTCCACACTGATGGCACACAGGTTGAGGATGGAGGCGGTGCACAGCATGACGTCCATGGTCATCAGAGCATCACAGATGTATGTGCTCAGGGTCCAGATTCCACCCAGGAACTGGGACACACAGCAACAACAACAACAACACCAGGTTAACAAGTTGTCAGTCCTGTTAGCAGTGGACTTTAAACTACGAAGAGACAGATAGGGCAGGTAATTAGGTATGTGTATGTGTTTCTTCAATTTAAGAGGTCATGGAGGGATGGTCAACTTACACGCATGCATACACACACACACATACACACATACACTACTCACCTCAGAGTAGACGTAGAGGGGCAGCACCAGTACAGCCAGCAGTAGGTCGGCCACAGACAGGCTGATAATGAAGTAGTTGGTGGCAGTCTTCAGGGAGCGCTCAGTGAGCACGCTCAGACACACAAGTACGTTGCCCAGGATGATGATCAGGATGAGGGGCACGCCCAGCACCAGGGCAAAGTAGTTGTAATTTTCCCTCTGGCCCAGGACCACCAGCCCCCCCTCAGTCAGACCCTCTGAGGTGGCATTGCTGCTGGGTGACGTCGTCACATTGACCATGTCGATGATGGAGGCCCCGGGCTGCACTGTCGCTCTGAAGTTAACATCTAGAGAGGAGGCGAGAGGAGAGTGTTTACTGTGTTCTGTGTGTGCCTTCAGTAAGTATTTACACCCCTTGACTTTTTTAAACATTTTGTTGTGTTACAATGTGGGATTTCTCCCCAATTTCGTGATATCCAATTGTTAGTTACAGTCTTGTCGCATCGCTGCAACTCGGGAGAGGCGAAGGTCGAGAGCCATGCGTCCTCCGAAACACGACCCTGCCAAGCCGCACTGCTTCTTGACACACTGTTCGCTTAACCCGGAAGCCAGCCGCACTAATGGGTCGGAGGAAATGCCGTACAACTGGCGACTGAAGTCAGCGTGCATGCGCCCGGCCCACCACAGGAGTCGCTAGAGGACGATGGGACAAGGACATCCCGGCAGGCCAAACCCTCCCCTAACCCGGACGACGCTGGGCCAATTGTGTGCCGCATCATGGGTCTCAAGGTCGCGGCCGGCTGCAACACAGCCTGGGATCAAACCCGGGTCTGTAGTGACTCCTCAAGCACTGCGATGCAGTGCCTTAGACCACTGCGCCACTCGGGAGGCCCTATTAAAATGGATTTAATAGTAAAAAAAAAAAGATCATCGACCTATACAAAATACTCTGTAATGTCAAAGTGGAGGAAAAATGTGAACATGTATTAAACCTTTATGAAAAATAAAACACTAACATATCTCGATAAAATAAGTATTCAACCCCCTGAGTCAATACATGTTAGAAACATATTTGGCAGCGATTACAGCTGTGAGTCTTTTTGGGTAAGTCTCTAAGAGCTTTTCACACCTGAATTGTACAATATTTGCCCATTATAAAAAATAATTAAAAATCTTCAAGCTCTGTCAAGTTGGTTGTTGATCATTGTTAGACAGCCATTTTCAAGTCTTGCTAGATTTTCAAGCCGATTTAGGTCAAAACTGTAACTAGGCCACTCAGGAACATTCAATGTCATCTTGGTTAGCAACATCAGTGTAGATTTGGCCTATTGTCTTGCTGAAAGGTGAATTCCTCTTCCAGTGTCTGTTGCAAAGCAGACTGTACCAGGTTTTCCTATAGGATTTTGCCTGTTCTTTGAGTACTACATTTATTTTTATCCCAAAAAACTCCCTAGTCCTTGCCAATGACAAGCATACCCATAACATGATACAGCCACCACTATGCCTGAAAATTTGAAGTCTTCTACTCAGTGATGTGTTGTGTTGTGTTGGATTTGCCCCAAACATACAGTGCATTCGGAATGTATTCAGACCCCTTTTTGTTACATTACAGCCTTGTTCTAAAATTGATTAAATTATTTTTTTCCCTTATCAATCTACACACAATACCCCATAATGACAAAGTGAAAACAGGTTTTTAAAATTTTTGCAAATGTATTAAAAATAAAAAACAGAAATACCTTATTTACATAAGTATTCAGACCTTTTGCTATGAGACTTGAAATTGAGCTCAGGTGCATCCTGTTTCCATTGATCATTCTTTATGTGTTTCTACAACTTCATTGGAGTCCACCTGTGGTACATTCAATTGATTGGACATGATTTGGAAAGGCACACACCTGTCTATATAAGGTCCCACAATTGACAGTGCACGTCAGAGCAAAAACCAAGCCATGAGGTCAAAGGAATTGTCTGTAGAGCTCAGAGACATAATTGTGTCGAGGCACAGACCTGGGGAAGGGTACCCAAAAAATTCTGCAGCATTGAAGGTCCCCAAGAACACAGTGGCCTCCATCATTCTTAAATGGAAAAAGTTTGGAACCACCAAGACTCTTCCTAGAGCTGGCTGCCCGGCCAAACTGAGCAATCGGGGGAGAAGGGCCTTAGTCAGGGAGGTGACCAAGAACCCAATGGTCACTCTGACCATTCACTCTGTCCATAGAGTTCCTCTGTGGAGATGGGAGAACCTTGCAGAAGGACAACCATCTCTGCAGCACTCCATCAATCAGGTCTTTATGGTAGTGGCAAGACAGAAGCCACTTCTCAGTAAAAGGCACATGACAGCCCGCTTGGAGATTGCCAAAAGGCAACTAAAAACTCTCAGACCATGGGAAACAAGATTCTCTGGTCTGATGAAACCAAGATTGAACTCTTTGGCCTGCATGCCAAGATTCACATGTGGAGGAAACATGGTACCATCCCTAAGATGAAGCATGGCGGTGGCAGCAACATGCTGTGGGGATGTTTTTCAGCGGCAGGGACTGCGAGACTAATCAGGATAGAGGGAAAGATTAGCGGAGCAAAGTGCAGAGAGATACTTGATGAAAACCTGCTCCAGAGCACTCAGGACCTCAGGCTGGGGTGAAGGTTCACCTTCCAACAGGACAACAACCCTAAGCACACAGCCAAGACAATGCAGGAGTGGCTTCGGGACAAGTCTCTGAATGTCCTTGAGTGGGCCAGCCAGAGCCCAGACTTGAACCCGATCTAAAATCTCTGGAGAGACCTGAAAATAGCTGTGCAGCGACGCTCCCCATCCAATCTGACAGAGCTTCAGAGGATCTGCAGAGAAGAATGGGAGAAACTCCCCAAGTGCAGGTGTGCCAAGCTTGTAGCATCATACCAAAGAAGACTCGAGGCTGTAATCGCTGCCAAAGGTGCTTCAACAAAGTACTGAGTAAAGGGTCTGAATACCTATGTAAATGTGATATTTCCGTTTTTTATTGTTAATACATTTGCAAAAAGTCATAAAAACCTGTTTTTGCTTCGTCATTATGGGGTATTGTGTGTAGATGGATGGGGAAAAAAACATTTAATCAATTTTAGAATAAGGCTGTAACGTAACAAAATGTCAAGGGGTCTGAATACTTTCCGAATGCACTGTAACACTTTGTATTCAGGACAAAAAGTAAATTTCTTTGCCACATTTTTTGCAGTATTATTTAAGTGCCTTTTTCCACACAGGATGCATGTTTTGTTATTCTGTACAGCCTTCTTTCTTTTCACTCTGCCATTTAAGTTAGTGTTGTGGAATAACTACAGTGTTGTTGATCCATCCTCTGTTTTCTCATATCACAACCATGAAACTCTGTTTTAAAATCACCATTGGCCTCATGGTGAAATCCCTGAGCCGTTTCCTTCCTCTCCGGCAACTGAGTTAGGAAGGATGCCTGTATCTTTGTAGTGACTGGGTGTATTGATACACCATCTAAAGTGTAATTAATAACTTCACCATGCTCAAAGGGATATTCATTGTCTATTTTTTTTTAACCATCTACCAATAGATGCCCTTCTTTGCGAGGCATTGGAAAACCTCCCTGGTCTTTGTGGTTGAATATGTGTTTGAAATTCACTGCTCGACTGAGTGACCTTGCAGATACTTGTATGTGTGGGGTACAGAGATGAGGTAGTCATTCAAAAATCATGTTAAACACTATTATTGCACACAGAGTGAGTCCATGCAACTTATTATGTGACTTGTTAAGCACATTGGTACTCCTGAATTTATTTAGGCTTGCCAAAAAAAAAGGGTTCAATACTAATTCACTCAAGACATTTCAGCTTTTTGTTTTTTATTAATTTGTAAACATTTCTTAAAACATAATTCCACTTTGACACTATGGGGTATTGTGTGGAGGCCAGTGACACAAAATCTCAATGTAATCAATTTTAAATTCAGGCTGTAACACAAAAAAATGTGGAAAAAGTCAAGGGGTGTGAATACTTCTGAAGGCACTGCATAGGTAGGGGAAAGTGACTAGGCAACAGGATAGATAATAGACTGTAGCAGCAGCATTTGTGATGAGTGTAAAAGTATATGTGTGAATGAGTGTGTGTGTGTGGAGTCAGAATGCATGTGTGCACGTGTTATGTGTGTGTGGGCGTATGTAGTGTGTATGTATGTGTGTGTTGGGGTGTCAGTGTAAGTATGTGTTATGAGAATTATTTAACAAACTATTTCAGTGTCTCTGTGCGTCTCCCAAAAGGTTGTAATGCTTTTGGATCTAGAAACGGACAGAGTCCCAGTCTGCATAGTCGGGCCTTTATTCATTGAGAATTCTGCCACCAAATGGTCGTACAATATTTGTATACGCACACGTCATACAAAAATCCCACCCTTCTGTAGGCGGGTTGTAGTTTTCCACTTGTAACCTGCTCTCCTGACCATCAGTTCACACACACACACACATACACACACACATACATACACACATACAGTGGGGAGAACAACTATTTGATACACTGCCGATTTTGCAGGTTGTATGATTTTTAAGTAATTAATTTGCATTTTATTGCATGACATAAGTATTTGATCACCTACCAACCAGTAAGAATTCCGGCTCTCACAGACCTGTTAGTTTTTCTTTAAGAAGCCCTCCTGTTCTCCACTCATTACCTGTATTTACTGCACCTGTTTGAACTCGTTACCTTTATAAAAGACACCTGTCCACACACTCAATCAAACAGACTCCAACCTCTCCACAATGGCCAAGACCAGAGAGCTGTGTAAGGACATCAGGGATAATTGTAGACCTGCACAAGGCTGGGATGGGCTACAGGACAATAGGCAAGCAGCTTGGTGAGAAGGCAACAACTGTTGGCGCAATTATTAGAAAATGGAAGAAGTTCAAGATGACGGTCAATCACCCTCGGTCTGGGGCTCCATGCAAGATCTCACCTCGTGGGGCATCAATGATCATGAGGAAGGTGAGAGATCAGCCCAGAACTACACGGCAGGACCTGGTCAATGACCTGAAGAGAGCTGGGACCACAGTCTCAAAGAAAACCATTAGTAACACACTAGGCCGTCATGGATTAAAATCCTGCAGCGCACGCAAGGTCCCCCTGCTCAAGCCAGCGCATGTCCAGGCCCATCTGAAGTTTGCCAATGACCATCTGGATGATCCAGAGGAGGAATGGGAGAAGGTCATGTGGTCTGATGAGACAAAAATTGAGCTTTTTGGTCTAAACTCCACTCGCCATGTTTGGAGGAAGAAGAAGGATGAGTACAACCCCAAGAA